TTTTGAAATACGAACGTTCGCTCATGCGTTTGCGGTTTCACGTTTCACGCAGGAATTGCGCTAAAACGATTTTATGACTAATTACGCCATTTTATGTCGAGGTTAAACCGTATTGGTATTTTCATTTTAACTAATTATCCCTCCGTCGTTGCGGTCCGGCGTTATCGCGCCCGATTTTTTTTTCTTTGCTGGTCGATCGTTTATGCGACCGATTGCCGCAAGAATATAAAACTTGATACAATGTTGGGGGACTTTGTCAATGTATTTGTCGGTACCATCTTTGAAGAGGAGCATCGAGCGATACATGTTATGGGAGTAAAAATGACGAAGACATAATAGAAAAATGAAAGGAAAAGAATCTCCATCGTCAGCATCGGATGACGAAAATATCGTCACTAATCAATTTTGATTAAACTTAAGTGGCCTATGGATAAACATACTAGCGTAGTCCAAACCCAAACCAAACTGGCCGGCATTTCTATTGCCGCTAAAGAGTCTGCAGAAATATCGAGGACAGGATAATCATGATCTAATCTGATAGTAGACAACTCTTGTCGGCCCTAAACAGTCACTGCAGGGTCAGTACTAGAATGTCATAACTCACTGGCAGTTGCTGCCCCTTAAAAACCGCATTTCTGTCAGGTGAGTCACGCGCAGTGTCGTGGCATTAACTCAGCAGGCAGACTGGTGAAGATAACTTCCGCCTTCCAGCTCACCGATATTGGGACCTAGTCCTAACGATCTGTCTTTTGCTACTCTGACTAATATGATCAAAGAGATCACCCTTAAAGACTTCACGTTCAGATGGAATTAGTCTACCTTCTGTCAACTAGCTAGGAAGTTGATTAGCTATCTTAATGAAGTTGCAGTAAGAATGGTCAAGGAAAAACCTACGTTTCACCACAGGTTTTCTGACAGGCCTCTGCCAGTAAAGAAAACATCTCTATTCAATGGGATTAAATGAGTCACCCCTATGCCAGTACTGATAAAAAGGATATCTTAATTGAAAGTAAATGGAAATCGAAACAAGGTTGCCATGTCCTTGTATATGTCCAAAGCAATATTGTCTTAAACAGAGTCAGTGATAATCTTGCCATTCCATTAAACATATTTAAGAGAATGTCTTACTTCAAAGATTTGGATCAAAAATCAATATTCTTGATTTAAGGAATGCAGATTTTCGCTGAAAGCCTTTTTTTTTTGCTCAAATTAATGGATTCCTTGGTTTAGGAACCTGTTAATTTGGATCAAGTACCTTTATCCAAAGGGATAGGTTATAACTGATTTTCTAGGACAACTTTTACATAACAGGAAAGTTTTCTTTGGATTAAAAAACAATGTTGTCTGAAAAAACAATGTTGTCTGAAAAAACATATTTAATGATAATGGTATAAAAATACCTATATATATTATGTGACTAAGTATACTATATAATTAACAGAAAAGAAACTTGAATTTTCAGAACAATTCATGGGTTAATTAATTCATGCATAAAAAAATAACAGTCTCTTAATCTACTAAGGAAGGGCCAAATTATAATATGGACCAACTGGTAAAGGTCCTGGTTATTATGTTACCAAGCAGGTAAATTCTATATCTAGAGATTATAATTCACTTGTTTGGTGTCAAGCAGGAACTTTATCAGTTCGCCCATAGTTTGGCCCTAACTAAAAGATAATATTATATCATTATTTCATACCATAACTAAGGGCTGAATAACGGTTTTCCAGTTTTGCACCATTTGCACAAACCACAATCCGGACCCGATAAGTGACAATGAAACAGAAAACACTACACGTGGAGAAAAGAAAGATGCACTAATGTAGAGGGTACCAGCGTACGGTCAGAGTGGCGCGGCTAGGAGCAGCGTCGCGCGCGGAATTATTGATTATCTCTCAAAAGAAACAGGAATCTTTAAATGAAAGTATTTATCTTGGTTTAAGATCACTAGTTTAATGTGTAATACATATAAGTAAATAATCCTCTGTACAAGACGTTTGACTACCAAGAGAATATGCGTGATTAATCAAATACTTGAAATATCTAACTTCAAGACTACATTATTTTAAGGAGAGAAAAGTTCCTTCATTCAAAGAAATTTGGATTCAAGATAATATATTGCTTCTCTCTAAGGGTTCATTTTTATCAGTGAGGAGTTGGGAACAGGAGAACTAAACACTGAAGCATTATCTTTGCCACTGGGATTTAGTCTCGGGCCTAAGAGGGTCCATTCTGCCAGATAAGAAATCATCCCTATTTAATGGGATTAAATGAGTCACCTCTATGCCAGGGGTTGGGAATAGGAGAACTAAACAGTGAAGCATCATCTTTGCCACTGTAATTTAGTCTCGGGCCTAAGGGAGTCCACTCTGGGAGCTGGGAGAGCGCAGGTCTGATTCGTCCTTTCTGAGGAAAGCTTCTTCAGGCAACATCTTCAAAACAGGCTGCACAATGGCTTGAAAGTTTAGCAGGACTGGGAAATTATCCAATGGGGCCTGATCTGTAATGGGATCCCTTCTACAGAATTCAGATCCAGATACAATGTCATTTGTAAATGGACCCAATGGACAGAATAATATAAATAATACTTGGAGAGAAGCTAAAATATCAAAGAATGCAGAAAATGAAGTACAAATAAGTGAGTGTTCACTGTCAAACATACAATTGAAGATATATTTCTCATGCGGACTATATTGAAGAATGTAAAGAAAACTTGATGAACCAATATCCAATACCTACCTCTCTAAATCCAGAGCTAAGGCTACAGATGAAGAAAATAGAGAAAATAGAGTTGATAGAATACATAGAATATAGAGCTTTCACCTTGACATAGGTTTTGCTAGACAATATTTCAGCCGATTTGAAGATAAAACTTTAACGAAATCTGGACGTATATGTATATAGAGTATTGAGGTAATTGATTCTGTCCACATAGAGATACTAGGAACATGGGAGAGGAAATTCTTTCCTGTTGTTTCGATTCTGATTGAGCCACTGATGTTAATAACAAGTAATCTATTCATTAAATCTATCACTGAAGGTGCAATATATTTGCCATAAGTTCTCATGTACTGCGCATGTATCCCGAGTTTCCTTTTCCTTGTGACAGGAAAGCACAAAAACCGAAATAATAGGAATATATATAATCAATAATCAATTGATTCATTTAATTACACCGACTACTTAAATCATCCAGTACAAAAATCAAATTTATCATAAATGTTTGTAGCCTAAACTTTATACAATCTTATCAAGATCGGTACTACCGTTCCCACATCCAACGCCTGCAACTTTCACTCACTTAGCATCACAAAACGACACAAATTTATACCGGGTGGTGTTATTAATGTGCCAACTTAGAATAATTTATTCCGAGCGTTTGTGCCATTTGACCCGAAAACGGTCGTACCCGACAAAATTGAACGTACGTGCCTACGATACTGAAACGATAAAAGGTGCTTCTGTATTTGGTACGTGTTTAGAAAATAAAACTTGATATTTTTGAAAAAAATATAATTGATAATTATTACCATAGTTTAAAAAAGTATAAATCTTCAATGTATTCACATAGCGTCTTTATTTATTGTAGAAGAATGGCTGAACATGCTAATATATTGTATTTAATTGATGGGGTTCAACCTTGAGTAAAGTGGACTCAATTGTGGAACTATTGAAGTGAAGTTTTTCTTCAATATTGGCTTTAGACTATAATAATGTCCATATAGCTAAAGTTCAATTTTTTTTTTTCTTCAAAACTTTCAATAATATCATTATTTGAATATCAGATAATTCAGATATACAACCCAACAAGTAACATAAATATGCTCACAATAGGTTTATATAGGTTAGTATATTGTATATACCATTTTTTGATACAACTGCATTATAGTTTTTAAGAAGTTATACTGGGGTTGCATCTAAGATCTACAAAATTCTATGATCTAGGTAATAGGTATACCTACTTGGGAAGCCCTTGAAAATAGAGATAAGGGCGCTTTCTTTTATTCAGCGGTGGATCCATCGGTAATCAGCCTTTCTCGTCTAGCTCATAACAAATTGGAATGTCTGTCTCATAATGCTGGCAGCAGATGGATCCATTGCTGAATAAAAGAACACGCTCATATATTCATCTAATATCTAATTATTGTATGATAAAATAACCTTTCATAATGTCTTTGCCATTATATTCACTTATCCTCTGTGTTTTGTTTTACATATTATTATATGTTGAAGGATATCTTTTCTTTATTCACAAACCATACCTTTCAGCAATTTATATTATCTTTAATACTAACCATATAGGTAAGTACCTATAAACCAAAATACCTCATCCAATAACGATTCCTTCTCGAGATACACACATACGCCCAGTCTTTATAACTTTTATCTCTTTTAGCACATTTTTAAATACTTTCAAGGTACTACCATCATATTATGTACTTACTAAAAAATTTCTACCGCACATTATTTTATTATGAAAGATGCTGCTAAATACGGGCTTAATAATAATTGGATCAAGGTAGGTACTGCGGTCGCAGTACCACTAGCAAGCTTATGCTCTTTTTGTTTCAAGATAAGAAACTAAATTGTAGAGTAGAGGGACGGTGTGCTACTGCCGATGCAAATTTTCAGCCTATAAATTATTATAATAGCGCTTGTGATAAAGGCTGATGTCTGGGAAAAATCGAGGGAACTATCCCGGGGTGATTGGTCAGTGGCGTGCGTTTAATGACCCATTAAAACGTATAGGTAGATAATCATATTATAATGCTGCGAAAAAAGTTCGCGGACCGTATTAGCTTTTGCTTCAAAACTAATACAGTGAACCTTTTTCACGAGCTTAGGACCTACAATTAAATTCGGGTTCTATGATGAACCAATAAATATATATTTTTTTCTATGCTGTGGGTTGCAAAGAAAACAAACTACCTACCTAATAATTTGATGAAGAAATTATTTATTTAGGACATTACATTAAAATAGTATTTTTAGGTAAACTATTAAAACTTGCCTAAATCGGGTAGTCCAGCGTCAACCCATAATTCAATTCCTGCTTCATTGTGACCTCTAAGAATTTTGAAATATCCAGCTTCACCCCAACGTTCGTTCCAGGAATTGGCCATCAGCCAGTATTTGACTCCATTTTCTACACCCCAGCCTAGCATTTTAACTGCGTGAGTTCCTAAGTAGTGGGAGTTGGTAACTTGGTAGACACCTGACAAAATTATTTATCGTTTACAAGTGACATTAAAATTGGAAATTCTGTAGGTAAACTTACCACTTTTATAATTAAGGAAGTCATTGAAAACATCCATAGTTGCTTCAACAGGTCCGTTTTTCAAAATTTCAAGTTGCATTTGTTGTTCTCCGCTAACTTCATAATTTTCCAATCCGTAGGTTTTTTGATCTTTGTAGGTCAAAGAAGCATCATCGCACTGTTCTACGCATTCTGGAGTACCAACGTACTCGGTGCATTGGGTTGGATGATCATCACAAGTTGGCAGAAAGTAAGATTTACAACCCTAATAATAAATTGTTTTTTAGTAATGTAATTGTTGGGAATCTTGTACTCACTTGATCAGTTCGGTTGTAAAGTCCTCCAGAGACAATTCCTTGCTCGTGCCAATATTCCCAGGCATCGGAAGGATTACCACCACGGCAACCTCCAGCCGAACTACAAGTCAGCAAATCTTGGGCGGAAACTATAGTTTTTTTCTCGCCGTTTGAGTGGATGCAAATTCTATCCGACATAGATTCCGCAGCAGCAAAGGCCTGGAACAAGTATCTATTAGTTCAACTTTTGAAGTTACAACATTGAGAAAGCATGGAAAATTGTATGAGAAGTTCTCCTATTATTCTAGAAATTGCATGTTTTCTCCTGGTTTACCCTACTTCTTCCTTCATACCTGTTCAAATAGAGAAACAATGCAAGGTAATACCTGCTATAGAATTAAAAAAGATAATTTAAAGCAAGGCCCAAAGTAGACTCAACACAATGTCCGCTAAGTAATCAATACATTACATATTAGTAGTAGTTTACATTACCCAGCATGACCCACATCTAGACTGATCCCTGATCATACCAATAACATCGGCACACTTAGGCCAAGCTTCACGAGCATCGAAGGATTCTGGAATGTCTTCATTTTCGTCATGGACTATTTTTTTGACTTGCTTCAATAGTCCATTGGGTTTTTTGATACCTGATGCCAGGACTTTTACGTAGGGATATTCATCCACTTCGAAGTTTCTTCCTGCTCTCCATGTAGACTGTTTGCTGTTAATTTCTGCTATGTATTCATCTGAGAGAGGATGAAGACCGATTTTGAAGGCTGAGGCTAGCCCGATGGCTACAAATAAGACACATAAAGATTTCATTTTGCTGAATAGAGTTATGGGATCAAAGTGTAATGATTTATATAGAATGTGTTATCATTTTAAGTAGGTAGGTACTTATGAAGTTTAGAAAAAGAATATTATCGTTTCAAAAAAAAAATAGACGAAAAGTTGCTTCGTCAGAGATTTGAGAGTAATTAAGTCAAATTGATAACAATCAGGAAAATAGAATGGGAAGAGAAAGGAAACAGAAATAATTTCGGATAAATATACTATATTCAATGCAATAGGGCAGGACATTAGGAGTAAAACACACAAGTATTACCAAATTGCTATCATCCCGAGCCAGCACGTCGCTTCAAGCCAAATTTGTAGCGCTACTTTGGTTTTCCGGTAAGAAAGCGGTTGATTTCGGAATTTTCGGAAAACTCGGGCGCCACCCTTAGTATTATAGTGGTTAAGAGCCCACGTGCTCTAGGTAGCTTTTAAACAGTGGAGACGGAAAGCCATGTACGCCAATTACGCATTTCCCAAAAATGAAACACACAATCCAACCAAGAAAGTAGTTTTTATTGTTCAGCCAATAATTTATAATACAATGAGGAAGATGCCATAAAACTTAATTGAAATACAGGTGTAATAAAAGGAAATGCTAAGCGGAGAGTGAGGGGGGCGAACGAAGTGCGTGTGCGTGTCGGGTTAGTCGCTGGAATTTAACGTTTCGAGATTACGGTACGGTAACGGTTACGGTAACGGTTAATCGGTGACAGAAAGCTCCAGGAACCATGATCGGTCCAGCTCCTATTATCCGTTCACAATCCGATGTCCACAGGTAGGTACAGGTAAAATCACCTTTCAATGCTATTTGACAGGAAAAGGTGATAAATTTACCTGCACCTGTGGACATCGGATTGTGAACAGGACAACCGTTAGCTTGCAGGATCAGGCCTTTGGGCCTCGTGCGCGAATTCTTACTCTAAGGGTACCTGAGCGAATCCGTCGGGTATAAGCCCAAGCTTGATCTTCATGAGAAGTTACTAAGAAACCAGACCAACACTACAATAGAAGCTAAGAAGCCTGTGCTGCAGAGCAGAGTCTGTAATATTTATTAGTAAGTTATGAAGAACTATTTCAATTACAAGAGTTTAGTTGATCAGTTCTGTTGTATAGTTCCCCAGTGACAATTCCTGTTTGGTGTCAGAAGTCCCAGGCTGCGCTAGGATATCCACCCTCACAGTTTCCAACTCTAAATCCTGCACAAGTAGTCAAGTCTTGGGCAGAAACTAAAGTTTTTCTTTCCTCTTGTGATTGGATGCATCTTCTGTCTGACATGGATTGTACAAGAGCAAAAGGTTGAAACAATATTTAATAATTTGTGTCAAATATTCTATTAGAATTGTCCAGAACGTATTATAATAACCATCTGTCTTTGTATAAAGTAACTCTTCTTAATATTTATCAGTCTAGTAGAGTAGAATCTAATAGAGATATTTCAGTAAATTATTGGAATGTCGATAACCCAAATACATCAATTATAATGATACCATTAAAGCTACTGTCTGATCGAAACCGTCAATTTAAAATTCTGGATTTTGAGTTTAAAATCAATTCTACAACAAATAAGTCTATTAAAACTCCATTGTTCCGTTATTACTATGTAAATCGATAACTTGAATTGATGAAAAATAGATACTTGAACTTAGTTCCAATATAACCAATAATGACTCATTGAAACGTAGGTAGATAATCATATTATAATACTCATGCAACAATAAAATTAAACACAGTATCAATTGAATAAAGAAAAAAGTATTTATTCAGGGCATTATAATTTAGGTACTATTAAAACTTGCTAAAATCGGGTAGTCCAGCATCAACCCATACTTCAATTCCTGCTTCATTTTGACCTCTGATTATTCTGAAATATCCAGCTTCACCCCAACGTTCGTTCCAGGAATTAGCGATCAGCCAGTATTTGACTCCATTTTCTACACCCCAGCCTAGCATTTTAAGTGCGAGACCTCCTAAGTAGTTGTCGCTGGTTTTTTGGTAGATACCTGCAAAAATTATTTATCGTTTACAAGAAATTTTGAAATTGGAAAGTCTTTAGCAGGTACTCACCACTTTTATAAGCAAGGAAGTCCTCGTAAACATCCAAAGTTGCTTCAACAGGTCCGTTTTTCATAATTTCGAGTTGCATTTGTTTTTCTCCACGCACTTGATAGTTTTCTAATCCGTACGTTTTTTGGTCATTGTAAATCAAAGTAGCATTGTCGCACTGTTCTACGCAGTCTGGAGTATGAACGTAGTCGGTGCATTTGGTTGGATGATCATCACAATTTGGCAAAAAGTATGATTTACAACCCTAATAATGATTGTTTGTTAGTAATGAAATTATTAGGAGTTTTGTGCTTACTTGATCGGTTCGGTTGTAAAGTCCTCCAGAGACTATTCCTAGCTCGTGCCAAGTTTCAAAGGCGTCATCAGGAACACCACCATTGCAACCTCCAGTTATACCACAAGTCAGCAAATCTTGAGCAGAAACTATAATTCTTTTCTCACCGTTTGAGTGGATGCAAATTCTATCCGACATGGATGCTGCAGCAGCAATGGCCTGGAACATAATACCTATTAGTTTAACTTGTTTATGAAAAGCCAATTTGTTACGAAAGTAGACTCAAAACAATATCCGCTAGGTTATCAATATCAATAATATTATGACGTGCCATTTTGTCAGAATTTTACATTACCCAGGCTGATCCACATGTAGACTGATCCCCGATCATACCAATAATATCGGTACACTTAGGCCAAGCTTCACGAGCATCGAAGGATTCTGGAATGTCTTCATTTTCGTCATGGACTACTTTTTTGACTTGTCCATTGGGTTTTTTGGCACCTGACGCCAGGACTTTTACGTAGGGGTATACATCCATTTCGGAGTTCCTTCCGGCTTTCCATGTGGACTGTTTGCTGTTAATTTCTGCTATGTACTCATCTGAAAGAGGATGAAGACCGATTTTGAAGGCTGAAGCTAGCCCGATGGCTACAAACAAGACACACAAAGATTTCATTTTGCCGACTAGAGTTATGGGAACAAAGTATGATGATTTATATAGAATGTGTTATCATTTCAAGTGGGTACTTATGAAGTTTAAAAAAAGAAAATGTTCGTTTCAATAAAAATAGAAGAGAAGTTGTTTCGTCAGAGATTTGAGAGTAGTTAAGTCATATTGATAACAACTTGCAATAAATGGAAAAAAATGTAGACTCAGAGGACTGATGAAAATGTCGTTTTAAAACATTTTTAGCTAATTTAGCTCATATTGGAGATGAAATCTCATTGGCACACAACAAATTATCTTTTTTTCCCCTCGTTTCAGGCCTGTCCGACTTATTGTCTCAATGCAGCACTGAAGCCTGAGAATGCCTATTGTACTTAGCCTATGTCATTTATTTCAACCACTGCAGTATTTTTGTGCCTTGTACGAAGTTGTGCAGGTCTTTTACTGGGTGGTGTTTCATTATTGTTTCGTGATCTACCTACGTTTGGTTGCCCGAAAATGCTGTGTCTTCTGCGATCCAGGGCCTCGCAGGGGTCTGGTAACTTATAGGTCCCAATGGGGACGTTATTTTTTTTGTCTTTTGAGGAAGATTCCTTCAAATAAACACGTGTAAGGTATAAATAAATGCGGAAAATTCACATTTTCCATCGGAAAATTATATACAAAATTGACGATTTTGCCCACCTTTCGAAAATAAACTACGAAAATTTTTCACTATCGGTCGCTATCAGCAGCGCGCTTTGTTGTCAACCAGTACACTCATAACCAGTATTAAATGAACTGTAACGAAACTAACCAAAAATATGCAAACTAACCCAAATTAACCCGTCCACGTAATGCGTACTAGTCCTTATATGTTATTATTGAATTCCTAATTGTAAGTACACCAGTACACTTTATAACCAGTGTTAAACGAACTGTAACGAAACTAACCAAAAATGTGCAAACTAACCCGTTTACGTAATGCGTACTAGTCCTTATATGTTATTATTGAATTCCTAATTGTAGGTACACCAGTACACTTTATAACCAGTTTTAAACGAATTGTAACGAAACTAACCAAAAATATGCGAACTAACCCAAACTAACTCGTCCACTTAATGCGTACTAGTCCTTGTAAGTTAATACCTATCAAATTAAGAAAAACGAGTGCGCTTCGTGCGCTTTGTTATCAACCAGTACACTTATAACCAGTAATAAACGAACTGTAACGAAACTAACCAAAAATATGCTAACTAACCCAAATTATAACCCGTCCACGTAATGCGTACTAGTCTTTTTATGTTACTAGGTACTTTAAGTTGAACAAAACAGGTTAACGCTTACGTAAAATTTGACGCGCAGTTACGTTTTACTAAAGATAGCGTATTACGTATCACGCTAACATAGACAAGATAAGTTAAAGTTAGACAGAACACGTTAACGCTAACGATGGATTTGACAAGTACGAATGCGCAGTTACGTTTCACCAAAGATAGCGTGTTACGTGTCACGTAATTTAGCGGGTTTTTGCGAGTACCTTATACGTACACGTACGCTAAACGAACTTTTTCAAACCATGTTCAATAGTTCAATGTGACGACTCTGGTTAAATGCGAGAATTAATGAATGTATGTATAGTTCCGAACCTAATTGAATCGAGTCCAACCAGTTCCACCGTGAGAAAACAGCTCAGATTTCCGGGATCGGCAGTTTCCGAAAACCCCAAAAAAAAGAGGACGTGAAATTCAAAATACAAAAAAAAAAATTAATTTGTCCTGTTCTCGTTGTTCTTTCTGTTTGCTTTGTTTCTTTTAAAATCATATCTGCATATTTAAATCTAAAAAGCTGCTTAGCTTCTCATTCCTTCTAAGGAGATGCGACCACATAAATTCTCTCTAGGTACCCTGAATTATTGATCCTTGGAATTATTGTGCATTACTTCCACAAGCAGTCATCGTCAGAATTCTAAATCTACCATAGCATTCATGAAATGGTTGACGATTCTATTTTAATCGGAGTGGACAACCGTGAAATTGAAAATCGTTGACTTTTGGAAGACTCACAAATACAGAAGTTGCCAATTTCCCAGTGGAAACGCTCCTTTATGGGGCAAGTTACCAGTCAAATCCTTTGTTTTGTCTAACTTAAAGTACCTATTATTGAACTCCTAATTGTAAGTACACCAGTACACTTTATAACCAGTATTAAACGAACTGTAACGAAACTAACCAAAAATATGCAAACTAACCCAAACTAACCCGTCCACGTAATGCGTCCTAGTCCTTGTATGTTAATATTTCATTTTAAAACACGAACGCGCTTTGCGCGCTCTGTTATCAACCAGTACTTATAACCAGTAATAAACGAATCCTAACGAAAATAACCAAAAATATGCAAACTAATCCAAACTAACCCGTCCACGAAATGCGTACTAGTCCTTATATGTTATTATTAAATTCCTAATTGTAAGTACACCAGTACACTTTATAACCAATTGTAACGGTTTAAAATTATCCGTATTAATTTTTGTTAGTTTTAAGAATTTCGACAATAATCCATAGCCGTAAACGGCTGACCCGGTTCTGTACTGTGCGAATTTGGTTGGTGATTTATTAAATTGCAACAATCGAGTACCAATTTTCTTTATAATAGACCTTATAGATAAGGATATTCGGCCGACGCGTTGGTAGGATCCGCTACGCATGGTCAGGTCTTCGACTATTCTGGGAGTACCACCGGGGAATGGGTTCCATTCCGTACTGTCGAATTTTCGTATTTCTTTAAATATTTTCGGATTTATAAATAAACACTTTATGCGGCTATGAGATTCCTGTCGGATGATTTGTTTTGAGATATTCAGTATAGAGTTGAGTATTCTGTGGCCTCTGTGGGTGACATCGCGGAAGAGTTAGGTTTTCCCGCCGGGTGCGTATTTGGAAATTTCCCCTACTCCCTCTCCACTAAAGGGGGACCGACGAACTCAGGAAGTGGCCATCACTCTCGAAAATTCGGAGACAGAAAGCCAGATAACCACGCCATCATAGTTACGAAATTTGCAAGTATTTTGTGCAAGCCTTATTGAAAGGGATAAATTGACCGTGGTGGTTCAACAGCGAATTGGTGGTGCGTTTTGTTCTATTGCCGTTTTGGTGCCGATTTGCTGCAGCTGTGAAATCAGCTGGATTTGAGGGTTTTCGTTTTTTTGTCCTCCACCCAGAGTGCTCCACGTTTTCCAAAACTGCCCAAAATCAAGAAATCCCGGTATTTTTCCTGCGTTTGGCCACACGGAATCGTGTGTAAGTATTTTACAATTTCATTAAATTCAAATTTCGAATAGTATTCTCAAGGATTAAGGGGAATTTTGTTGCATTAGTTATTAATGAATTCATGAGTTCCATCATACTATGCTCCATCAATTCCAAATTTTAATTGATTGACGCATTGTATTTATGGATGGATCAGGGAGCCTTTTATGCACATTCTAACTCTGAGTTCATCCTTGTCAGGTGACTCCGGAGAGAGAAAAAAAAAACTTGAAGAGGGGGGATTTAATTAATGAGTGGGTCTAATTTTCTCTATAATGATTATTAAAATACCTTAAAATACCTTGGGGATATTTATTCGATTAAATAATACTGTTGTGTACCGAATAGTATCATAAAACTCGGTGTTTTGTTCAATATTAGGGTCTACGGTTGGGGTTGCGTCCTAGGGATCCTCATTGCAATTGTGTCTAAGCAACACTTTGGGAGACTGCTTATTAGCTTGGAGCTGATTTTCTTCGATAGAGGCTTTCCTGCCCCAGGACATCTGAACCTGTTGGCAAACCCAGGTTTCCAAGTAACCATTATTGCATTGTTTTGTTCTGATGACTCCTGTGATTTAATAGTATTGCGGATTTCACAATACGCATAAACATTATTGTATTACCTTACAATTATTAAAATATTGGTGCCTTTTTCATGGTTCATCAATACGTTTTGGTACCCACCTAGTATAAACTAAACTACTTATTTTGTTTCTACTTTATTATTGATGAACAGACTGAAGAGTAATTTCAATTAATTATTAATTATCTCATTATTATCACCTCAGTTATGTTTATTTTACATATGATTTTTTATTTGATTAGCATTTGGCACGTTCAATTGTATTAAAGGTATTTATACCTAAATCTCATTGCTTCTAACTGGCGCAACCACTGCAGGACCGTACCTGAGCATTTTTTTTTTTTTGGTGGAAGACCGATAACCATTAATTAGTCCACAGATTCATTAATTTATTAATTAGCTTTTAGGATCTCGTATTGCTCAGGGCCGGAGTGCATTATTTTTTTTTTGTGTCATGAGCGCTGTAACATTTGTTTGATATTATATATATTATAGGTTTTGTGATTAATTGTACACCGACCGTGATCACGTAAGGTATTTTGAGTTACACCCTTGACAACGCCAAATTAAAGGTAATCAATATCAAATAATAGATTAATTGATAGTATTTTCTCCGTCTATCAGTATATACGCTGAAGTAATATAAATTTTCTGGTGTTATAGAAAAAAAGGAACGTGCTCATACTGATTAAATATTTTTGGGAATTAATTGTTTTTTTATCTTTTACTCCGGCAACCCGCTATTTTCGATCTGCTATGCGAATGGTAACTTTTGATGATTTCTCGTAACCGGTTATCAATCTACCTTGGGAATTGGGCTTTATTATATAGGTTACTGGCGCCCATATTTTTTTTTTCTGTGATTTTGAGTCTGAACCGTACGACCACTCCCGAGCTGCGCTAGCCTAGCATTCCGTTGTCCACCTTACCGTACCTTCCCCTTTAAATTGCTGAAGCGGTTTAAGGGCGGAAATTGCGTGGCAAATTTTGGCGCCCAACGTGGGGCCTCATTTTCGAAATTTTTCATCGCTTTGCGAGGTTGCCATTTAAAGGAAATTTCTCTAGGTTGGGGATTTTTTTTTTCTTTCTCTTTCCCTTTCCTGATTTAATTTTGGAATTGTTCCAGCATATTTATAC